TCTTTAGCTTTCAAAGCTTTTATCTTGTTTGTTTATTGTTTTACACCTCCAGTTGCTTCAGGTCCTCTCCCTCCATCTCATCTTCTCCAACCTGCACTCGATTTGCATAAGCAAAACTCAAAGTACTGTAACTGATATTAGAAAATTCTCCTTGTGTTTTGTGGAGACGTATTGTGCTGAAATCAATAAGACTGTTTAAAATTCAAAGACCTGCAAATCGTTCTGTTTGTCCTTTGATAGGGCCTGTGCTGATTAAAATGCTACCAAGAAAGCTTAATTGCTGCACTAATTAAGAAGTCTTTAATTTCTTTCCTAGGATATCGTTTGAAGCTGAGCTTGTACCAGTTCAAGGAAGGTATTTTCTTCCCTCCCTCTGCCCCCTTCTGGCCCCACCCCTCCTCTTCCCCCTCCTCCCCTGCCCCTGACGATATCCCTATGAATGGGAACTAACAGAGAGCGTGGGCTCAGGTCTCAGCATCTATTACTTAACAAAAATCTGTCCAGGATGCAGAGTTCAGAGCAGTGTGAAATACAGTTTTGAGAAGAGCTGTCAGATTGCAGGAGCCAGTAAGAAAATACAGAGTAGCTGTGCAGCTGAAGTCCTAGTGTATACCTGGGATGACAAGAGGCACTTTAGCCGGAAGATGAGGGCATTCTATTTGGTTAAAAGGGGCAGTGACAAGGAAATGCTTCTATTGAAACAGGGAAACATAAACATGTACTTTCAAAACCTTTGGTTTAAAAAAGAAGAATAAATATATAGAAAGGTGGACTTAGAGTTGGGATTTGGTAAGTATCATTTTATTTTATAAGTATAAAATCATGAATTCTATGGGGATTTATTTTTGACCTTTTTATAACCCAGGGAAGCATAACACCATATTACATCTATTCCATCCTTATCTATTGACCTATTTTATTCACTGATGTCTCAAGTGGGGAAACTGACTAAATGATTTCACAAAGCTTTCTCTGTAATCAATAGTCATTTTTTTAGGTTTATTCATGCTGCATTATAATTCTGGTAAATGACTGCAAAGCAGAAGATTGTCAGAAAGATACAAATATTGACAAAGCCAGGATAATTCATGTCTTTAAATCTTCAGAGTTTTAATACAGCAATTGATATAATTATTTGAAAGAAAAACATTGAAAATGCATATTTCCTAGAATATAAAAATAAAATGATTGGGTAACTTAAAGGCAATACATATTTGAGCACGTTTCTTGAATATCTCAAAATGTCTTGAAAGCTTTGAGTAATTATAGCATCACAAAAACAATTTGGGCATATGCAAATAGAGCAACAAGAAAAGGTTCATTAAGCTTTTATTCTTTTAATTTTTTTCCCTAAATTCTATTGGAAGAATGCACAGAAAAATGCAGAGGTATACTTCTGATATATACTGAATCTCTTTCAGTGACAGGACAAGGAGATAACATGCTTAATAGATTCAAAGGGGACTTACCATTCCGAGCACGACGTCACTCTAATTATGTTTACTCTAATTGAAAGCAAGGGTTTTTGGAATCTGAAATTACTTTCAGAATTTTTTTTTTTTAAATAATGCAAGTGGATCAAATGTTGATCACAAGCATTTCCATCTTTCAC